ATTTTTCGACAAATGACATGCAATTTTCAATTTGATCATAATTTACTCGTTCTTTGCATTGTTATCAACTTGCAATTCCCTCGTATCAATATTATTAAATTTGTACAGTCAGTTGCTCCTCGCATATATACGTAGTTCCGAATCCATTACGACGTTGGAAAAAATATTGAGTATAAGCTCAAAAATGCATACATGAAAATAGAATTAATTGCATTCAATTGATTATACATGCAAATATCATGAAAAACAGAACTTTACGCCAAATTAATGGAAGAAATTGTATCACTGTGGACCTGGTTAGGATTAGTCCAGATTTACGAAGGTTTATCAACAGTTACCAGCAAAGACTTTTATGCGACATGAATATGATTGATGTGGTCGTGCAAAATTCCCTCTATATTCTCCGTTAAGCAGCAATGCTGCAATGGAATATCTTTTGAAATTATCCGAAATATTTTGCTAGATAAATCCAATGTGGTTCCGTTGAGGAGGCGTGACCTGGGACTTGTGGGTTAACCTCGTCGTTAACCTAATAATGTGTTGCAACGCACAATCAATGATTGACAGAATAAATAATTTTAAAAATTTTATATATTTTTTTCATTATTACAAAAAGCAAAAAAATAATTTTGTCTGCTACAAATCTTATAATAGATATTTAGCACACTTCTACCTGTCCAATCAATCTGAAATTTTGCACATTCGCGTTAAGTCGGAGACAATGCCTGAATCAATTGACAGAATAAATAAATTTGAAAATTCAAATTTTTTTTGAATATTAAAAAAATTAAAATCAATTTCTTTAATATTTGAAAATAAAATTAGAAATTCATTGAACATGTGTAACATCGGAGACACTGGATTCTTTAGAAGTGTTGTCTATAAAAGATAATTTTTAAACGCATATTATTCAATTAACTTTAATTCTCGTTAATTAACTCGGGACATTAATTAACTCAACTCATCATTAACTCAATTCGAAAAAGGCATAAATCAGCGAGTTTGCCTGGGTAATGCCCATTTAGCTACCCTGGTACTTCCAAGAGCCCCCTAAGGACATTCATCTCTCATCTTAATAAACTTTATCTGAAAAAGCCTATAATTCTTGGCGCTGACTATCGGCTGCTTTGATAAATCGAATTTTTAACTATTACTGAAGCGGCACTTTTTAACGTTTTCAATGAAAATAAAATGAATTTTTAGGGCGTTTTCTCTGTGTCAAAGCTCTTGACATGGATCAAATTTATTCATGACACTTGATTATCTAGTAAACTCGAGGTTATGATCACTTGAGGCTCAAATTGTGCGTATGTGTGAAGTACCTGAGGTACTTCATTTGCACTTCAGAAAGCTTAATGTTCCTCAGCTCTTCAGGAACACAAAGACAAAAACTTCAACTTATATCAATTTATTTCATGCATTCATCTGAGTCGATTACTTTATTTTTATGTGCCTTGTTTTATGGGTTCTTCTACACTTATTTTACTAATCAAACTGATCCGAGCACGTTTGCTCTTGTCGCCTACAAGAAGTGCGACAAGTGAATAATTTTAGAGAAAAATGTAGTGTTAAGAGTTTAAAAAATGGACGGTTACAAAACAAGATATTTTATTATATCAGGTAAATAAAATAGATAATTCAGAAATAATTACTGACGATCCATACTTTATTTTATGTATAAAAAATTAGCAGGATAGCCCTGCGTTGCCCTGGATGGAAAATCTTGTCAATCTGATTATCCCGCTATTCTGAATCCCGTCATTCCGAATTCCGTTATAAAGAACAACATCATTACAAATCCAGTTAATAATTTCGGCTCGTAAGCACGGTATTTAAAACAGAAACCGTTTAAACCGACATTTAGCCAAAACTTCAAAGCCTGTAATGAAATTTGAACTTTTTACTGCATGAATAAATTTTTTATTAAAAATTTGAAAATAACTTTAATAAAATAATGATAACTTTCGTAACTTTAAATTTTGCGATCGAAAATTTCCCTTCCCTTTTCACTGTCTCAGGATTCCACCGTTCACCAATAAAATTTTATTCCCTGATAATATTCCGAATGATAAGTATTATGGATACGCGCCCCAACAGCCCCTATTTACAATATCCCGACACGATAAGTCGATAAGTATCCTGGATACGCGCCCCAACAGCCCCTATATACAACTTCCCGACACGAAAAGTATCCTGGATACGCGCTCCAACAGCCCCTATATACAGCCCCAACAGCCCTTAAATACAATATCCCGACACGATAAGTATCCTGGATACGCGCCCCAACAGCCCTTATATACAGTATTCCGACACGATAAGTGTCCTGGATACGCGCCCCAAAAGCCCCTATATAAACAATATACCCCGACACGATGTGTAACCCCCAACAGCTCCTTTACATTTTGGGTGCAACTCCGAGCTTCAAACGCATAAAATTGAACAAATATATAGAAGATATTCATGTTGCTTTAGAAATGGCATTTCGCAGGCCCTTTATCGCTTATTTGAATGAAGTTCACTTGTAATGGAGTTTGGCGAGTGAAAATAGAAGGAACGCTCAGCTCGTATGCTTCATCCAGCCGGCTATTATGTTTCACTATCCACTTCACAACTTGAGATACGGGAAGCTATATAGTGAGTGAAAACGAAATTCGCATCACAAGTTCATCACACGTCACGCTAAAAAGTGCTTTCTGAAAATAATGTGACATCCAATTATATAATTTCGTTGTGCTACAACAACTTTCATGGAATATATGATGCTTATCTTTGTTTGATTCACTGCTAACTAATTTTGCTTTTTCGTCTCGAATTACGTTTGTATCCCTGCGGACAAACATAACTTTTTGCAAGATACTTAATTTTCCTGTGGCATTTAGAAAAATGTATATCGTTTTTATTTCATCCACTCAAACACACATATCAAATAGACAGATAATTTATTTAAACTTCAATTTATGTATTACGTTAAAAATTTTAGTTTTTAATAGATAATTTTTATTACAATTATGAGCTGTATACCTAGTTAATCGAGAGCAGGAGCAGTTATTGTTATCCAATATATATTTAACAAACCTAATCGATCCGATTCCGTTTATTAATAAATCTTGAAATGATTTAATTGCTGCTGCTCAGCAAGGAAACAATGATTACGAGCGATAACAACACATGTGAATTAATCAATTACAGTCTGGAACAGGGATCACGCACGGCAGAGACTACCTTCATTGAATGCTCAATTGAACACATTTCTTCAACGAGATAATTTTTTACGCATTTGAAAACAACGTGTTCACTGGTTTATTTGACTTACAAAGAGGCCATACAATTTGTTGAGCTTTGAGCATGACGCCGATGAAGATCATCTGTCAGCTGCTACTGTTACTAAGTAAGTCACGAATAAATTTTATGGGTCAATGTCTAATTAAATCATGAGTAACTAGCTTCCCAAAAAGCGATGAACTTTTGTCCTTGTAAGGGTAACCATGACCAATTTTGGCGCGGCAGAAAAACGTTTGTGAGCGCTGCGAAATTTTTCTGTTCAGGCTGCTGATTCAGAATGCGCATCACAGTCTGGATGTTCATGTCTATGCTATAAATACGTTTATCGCAGTGCCGCTGCTTGCTTATACAGGAAATAGGTACTTAATTTCTTTAAACTTTTACTACTTACGCCCAAGAATCTACGCATTTCGCAAGAAGTCGATTTTTTAGCATTGGCAAATTTTACGTACGCCAGACTTAACTTAAATGGTATTATCAAACCGATGTGCAGCCGAGCACCACCAATATTTAATACCCCTCAGCCCAGCTAGGCCTGCATGCACCGCCTAGTATCGTTCCGTAAACCCACAAATCAGCCGCACAGCAAACATGCCGTCAGTAAGCCGTGACATTACTCTGCCTTGAATATCAGCAGCCTGACATTACCAATTACGACAGCAAACAGCACAAAGTGCAATGACGGTACACCACCATACTTTGCATCGAAGCATACCATGATACCCTAGCTGGCCTGCCGTCGCATTGTACCTAGACTACTTCGAACTGCAATAAATCAGCCTAGCTTCCCCAGGGAGTTGCATGCCACCTGCCTTACACCACCAGGCCTGTCGTCGCACGAGCTACGCAACTGGCTAGGCGCAGCGAGTGGCGGTCTGCGGAGTGCGCTTAGACTAGTTGAACGCTTCAATGCTCAGTAGGCATGTATGAGGGCTCTTGTCCATGGAGAAGTTGCATCACAAGTTCAGCGAACCCATTCCATTATACTGCACTGTATGTAGCTACAATGACCCATGATTTTGTTAATTAGTTATTCTCGACACTCGGCAACATTACTAGCAAGAAATTTTTCGCTCATCAAATAATTTATAAAATTGAAAGAACCCTAGAAATTATTGCAAACTCGTAGAAAGAATTCATAACATATAACTTCTAATCTATGTCAATGAAGAAAATTTACTTTTCCATCAATTTCATACAATGTGGTTATACTAATTTGAAAAAGTTTTAGAGTGATTCATAACAATCAAGTTTGATCATTAAATCTTAAAACAGAAATGACGATGGCTCTTCGCTCGGTAAAGATTATGTCTGCCTCAATATTGCGCGTATATGGCACCTGATAGCTTTGGGGCTTAATTCACTGTCGAAGGCAGGAAGTTTGTGATGCGCACTACAATATGATAAAATTGTGCGGTTTACAAAATTGTGAACCGCAGTTGAAAATATTCAAATTTTGTTAAACTTGTTTGTATAACCGAAGATACATTTTTCAATGCCTTTCTCCTCTTGTACACCTTAATAATATTTCCATGCTCTCAAGCAACCCGTGTTTCAAAAACAGCAAAATAAAAAATCAATATTTTTACCGAAAAACTATTTTTGTCATAAAAGTAATGAAATTACTATCTAACTACCACGCAAGCTCCAAAAATTTATAAAGTCAATTGTAATCTTGTTCCATCGTACGACTTAACAAACGAACGATTACACACATAATGACGCCATTCCAGGGGCGGGAGATGGTCAAATACCTACCCCTGACCAGGGTCATCAGAGTCAGCATGACCAGCTGCTCGTTTCAGTTATATTACGCAGATTCAGTCAATCGTGCAATGGACTACCGCACTGAGCTCCTAATTTGCAGCCGAATGCGGCAGGTGGTCGATTCGCACCTGATTCACCTAAAAACCGAGTCAAAATAAAATTTGAATTTCGACTGGGTGTTCATGGCATGCGCACGGTTCTGACGTAAGTTCGTTGGTGCAAGTAGTTTTGTCGAATGTTGTTGCTTCAACTCCGACAGTCGTTTCAGAAAACGGTNGAAGTTGATTCTAAATGCATCCACCGCTTCAACGGTGGATATCTCACGTACGACGCAGCGGTGGATTACTGCCGCCAACAGTTCGGCAGGCTGCCTGTGATAGATGACTGCTCCACCTTCACTGAAGTTGCTACCTTTGTTGACGATGGATGTTAGCTGGATAAAGTCACAAGCTAGATAGTTGTAACAAAAAGCAAATCACGTTTTTGACTTGAAAATGTTACGCCAGTTGACAACGGCACGGGGTTACTATGAAGGCGGCAGAGCCTGCAGTAGTGTCTGGTACCTTCAACATTATTTGCCTGTTGGAACATGGGCCTGCGATATATATGAACAATAATACCATACTTGCATAGTAAAAAAGGAAACATTTGAGTAATCTAGGATTTGGTATTAAAGGCTAGACTCTTGAGAATTAAAAAAAACAGGCTCCATGAAACTTGTACTAACGATTGGGACAAACTTTTTGCTATTGTTTTCTATTGTACACGTTTTTTTTTCTATCGTACACGGGGTGCAGCTAATGACGGCTTCAGGAGAGGTACCATCAAATTTCGCCTAACTACGAGAACACGTAGAAGGCCTAATAGAAGTACACATAAAGAACGATTTTTCGTCTGTGATTGGTAGGTTTAAGTTTCAAAAACCGGCAGTGTTTGGCTGATAAAGTTACGAACTATTTCTGATAAATAAGCCACTGACTGACAATTTCAAGCACTCTACCTCCCATATTCCGGCAGACTCGGCCGAGGCTAACAAAGGCTTCTGGTTGGGCGCGACTTACTCCTCCAGAGACGGCGTCTGGCGCTGGAGCGACGGTGCGGCCGTTCCAATGGGCGCTCCGTACTGGGCGTTTGTAAGTGATTTTACGATACAAAATATCCACCAAGACGAGAATTATAAAGTATAGAAGTTGATGATTTATCCTGCATTTAATCCAGATTAATGCGTAGAAAATGCATCAGCTTATGCATCTCGGACAAATGAAGTAAAAGAAAGTCAGATTAAAATGTAAATTTACAGCATGTTACGAAGATAAAGAAAAATTACATGTAATTTAGACGTGTAATAAATTCAGTCGAAGAAATTTATTCTAATTTAAATTTAACTGAACTTCAAATAGAAGCAATAATACAACATTAATTTTCATGAGGTAATTTATTTCCATTATGTTATTTGATGAAAATTTCCATTATACGTAGAGAACCTTGATGGCACGAGTACTCAAGCTGCTGTGATTGTTGCAGGCCACCCCATTTCGTCAGTCGCCATCTCAACTTTTCTCGATTTCTCGTTTCGTTGTATGTGTTTATCTTACTTTGCGTGACTTGTTATTAGGCATGCGTACACTAATGGAGGGCTAATGGTACATTTGAGGTAACCCCGTAAAATCTTCGCCGGAGCCAAGGTCCACGAACAACTGGGGTAAGGAGTTCGGGTGCCGGTTTGTGTACAATTTTGTGCCCGCGCTGTGCCTCAAAATTGCTCACAAACCGGTGCCCATAATTCTTTACCCCAGTTGTTCGTGCACCTTGTCTTCAGGGACGATTTTACGGGCTTACTTTAAATGTGTAATTAGCTCTCCAATAATATCCTCTATTGCGTATTGGCCTGCAAATTCAAGATGGAAAGGTGAAGGTATTAAAACTAACTTATTTCGCGTACTTCTTTCCATGTGTTCATGTAATCTTGCGTAACTTGTTATTTGGCTTGCGTATTGGTCTGAAAATTCAAAATGGTTTACACATCTTGTGGTTCTTCTTTCGACCATGAAGCTCATAGATACAGCGCAGTCTCTATGCGCAAGGTTGCGTTGCTGACTATCGTACTCTTCTTGTATAGTAACTATCCTCATGGACAGACGCTGATATATTAGCAAAATACTAACATTCTGTTTATAAACCAACAAAACAAAATGAAATGACGTTTTAGCATACTTGAATATCAAAATCACATCCAGAGACGCAATCAAAGTTAAGACAGAATGAGCAAAATCATTGAAACTAGTTTGTGACTGTAAATAAACACATAAGGCAGGGCTAATTTCACTGCCGAGCTACACTTGATTTACGCACATTTTAAAATATTGGTACAAGAATCCAGCTTCTTCATCTTGCCAGTGAAGCAATTAACGTCTTGGTGATATTTACTCGCGTTTACATCGGCTGCTATGTAAACATCCCAAAACCATTTTCGTGGAGCCTGATATTAGCGATAAGCCGCATCATGAATAATAAATTATTTTCAGAATGCACCAGTGAAGGCGGGGAGAGAACCTTCAGGCGGTACTGGGTCCAACTGCGCCGTCATCTACCCCGCTGGAAACTGGGCAGTTTTTGATCATCCATGTGGAGCAACAAATGCTAATCCTATTTGCTCGAGAACACCACTGCATGGTGAGAAAATTATGAGTTCCGTATGCCCAACACATATCTACATGCAATTATGCAATTTATACTGCAATTATGAGAGCAATTTTTTGAAATAGTGATCTTCATATTTCATGAAAATTGTTCAGAAATTCAACTATAGGTATAAACACGTTCCTCTAATAGCCTCATTTAGTTTTCATATAAGTTTACACAGCACACATTTATATTTCAATACAGGACATTGTGGGCAACCATTTGTACTGGTGGGCACGCAATGCGTCCACGTCATCCAGGCTGGAAGTACTTGGGCTGCCGCACGCACCCTGTGTGGACTGATTGGTGGAGACTTGATCATTCTAGATGACTGTCATCAGTACCGCAAGGTCTACCTCTACCTAACCGAGAAAGGTGACGCCCTAAAAAGTCTGATTAAATGTTATACCAAAATTAAGATTTACTGTGCACTAAACTGTTTCCTACCAATAAATAAAAGTAATTTACCAAGCACGGTAGTAAATAACTCAGAAAGTTGAACTCATCTGTACAGAAGTCATTCAAACCAGAATCTGTGAGGCACCTGAACAAAAAGTCAGGCACCCACCTGTGACGCTGGGTGCCTTATAAAGCAAGGAATCCTGAATTACTGTCTAGTATATTGGTACTTCACGATTACATGCATCTAGTACATTTTTCGGTTACATCGCATTTTCAAAAGCTAATTTTGAGCATTCTTGAAAATTGTGGTCGTGTACTTAAAGTTTGAAATTTAAGATTATATTACATAATACTCATATTTCTTCCTTTTCTAAGGTTACAAACCGTATGCATTTTGGATCGGTGGCTCAGATCTCGCCGTCGAAGGGCAATGGCGCTGGATAGACGGTTCGCCGATGGCTATGGGTGTTCCCTACTGGGGCATTGTAAGCTGAATCTTTAGTTGAAATATAACCAATCTGCATGAAAGTAAAAATGGTAAATTTATAAGATATTCGAATTTGCTGATATTTTCTACAAATTTACTCCAGCATAAAGTGTATTTAACCTAGAATTCAGTTCCGCGCTTCAGGCCTTCCGCCATGTAATCACAATTCAGGAAATGCAGAGCTGCGAACAGTTTAGTAATTTATATTCAAATCTGATGTATCTGCTCTGTGCGTTCATTATTTAAGACAGTCATTGCTTAAATAGTGTTAATTGAGGTCACTTCTCAATAATAATTTTTTACAACATCCTTTCAACGAAAATTAAACAAATAAAAACTGATTTAAAATAGTCATATTCATCTGTATGAAAATAGTGGTCAGCGAACAAATTTCTAATTAAAAAGTCGTGTTAGATCATATTTCAGTTACATTTGTATACTAATCCTAATATGTTGGTACATGCATCAATAATCTTCCCTGTAGATTTTATTAGAAATAATTTCGTTGTCCGTTGATCGTCAACAAGTATACACTTTACTCGCCACGTATGCCGATCAAGATTGTTCAAGTATTTCTCGACGTAAACAGGCATCAGATAATTAATTGGATATTATTAATTAAATATTTTTCACGTAGTGCGTCTTGCAAAACAGCATATAAAATTAAATTATTTATCTGAACCACAGGAAGGTGCAGGAGCTCTAGAACCAAACAACCCCGGAGTTGAGAACTGCATGGAGCTCAGTTCTGCATGGATGTACCGCTTCTCCAACACGCTGTGCAACAACACGCGTCGGGTGGTGTGCGAGACCCATCCCCTCTAGGGGAAATATTAAGATGGGGGTCCCTTCTAGAAGAGCATTGTGATTATATTTCTATAAAATTACTGGGATGATTGTTCTTTTTGGGACCTTAATTTTGGGAATTTTGGGACCTCAATTAAAGTAAATTCTAAGCTGGAAAATCCAGAGAAATGCATTAAATTCTGCAATTGACTCGAATTAGACTGGAATTATGAATATTAATAACCAGAAGGTATTCGTTGGTAATCCTGGAAAAGATAATCCTTGTAACTTAAGAACCCGTTAACTCAAATACCGTCATCTCGAACCACCTCATTCCAAATCCAGTTTATAATTTTGAAACTAGCGTACCGTATATGATCAAACCTGTTCAAAACCACTTCTAGCTCGGAACTCGAACTAAAGTCGCGATTTGAAGTTTATAGGAAGCTGAAACTTTTATTTTTGAACGCGATGTACACTTGCAGAAATTTTAATTACATTACTAGTAGTATAGATAAGGGGTGTATCGTCACACTTTCCATAAACAGCTTAAATCATAGGTCACCACAATCATTTACCCTGATTCTTACCCAACAAAATTAACCAATTACCCCCGAATCTGTATAAACAGCTTTACAGGGTACCGATCATTTACCCCGAATCTTACCCAACAAAATTAACCAATTACTCCCGAATCATGAGTTAACGACCATTTACCCCGATTTTACTACACTCTTTAACCGAAAACTCAGGACTTAACCTAGAGCGGCTACCTGAATCCGATTCCGTTTATTAATAAATCTTGAAATGATTTAATTGCTGCTGCTCAGCAAGGAAACAATGATTACGAGCGATAACAACACATGTGAATTAATCAAACACAGTCTGGAACCAGGATTGCGCACAGCAGAGACTTCGTTCATTGAATTCACAATTGAACACATTTCTTCACAGAGAGATAATTTTTTTAGGCATTTGAAAACAACGTGTTTACTGTTTTTTTACTTGCAAAGAGGCCATACAATTTGTTGAGCTCTGAGCATGACGCCGTTGAAGATCTGTCAGCTGCTACTGTTCCTAAGTGAGTCAGGAATAAATGTTATGTGTAAATGTCTAATTAAATGTCTTATTAAATCATGAGAAAGTCGTTTCCCAAAAAGCAATGCACTTTTTGACCGTGTAAGGGTAACCATATAAGACCAATTTTGGTGCGGCAGAAAAAAGTATGAGCGCTACGAAATCTTGCTGCTGAGGCTGCTGATTAGAATGTGCATTAATTGCATCACAGTCCGGATGTTTGTGTCCGTGCTCAATACGTTTATCGCAGTGCTGCTGCTTGCTTATACAGTAAATACTTAATTTCTTTAAACTTTTACTACTTTACTATGCGCAAGAATCTACGCATTTCGCAAGTAGTCCATTTTATTTCCTTGACAAAACTTACGTTTTGACAAGCTCAGTATGTCGCAGTAATGATGAAGGATCGATGTACATGGGCTCTCGCCCATGAAAAAGATGCATAACAAGGTCAACGAACCCATAGGCAATTAAAATATTCAATATTAGAATTAGCAAAGCTGTGAGAGGACTGAAAGGTATTATGAGACTCAAATAGAGAAAATAACTTCCATTAAACTGCACTGTATCTACAATGACCCATGATTCTGTTAATTAGTTATTCCCGACTCATGGCTATATTATTTGTTACTACAAAAAAGTTTTCGCTCCTCAAATAGTTTATAAGAATGGAAAGAACCCTGAAAATTATTGCAAAGTCGTAGAAAGCGTTGAGAAAGAAAGAATTCATAACATATAACTTCGAATCTATGTCAATGAAGAAAATTTACATTTCCATCAATTTCTTACAATACGGTTATACTAATTTAAAACAGTTTTTGATTGATTCGTAATAATCAAGTTAGATCGTTAAATTTTATAACATAAATGACGGTGGTTCCTCGCTCGGTAAAGATTAAATCTGTCTCAAAATTGCGCGTATGTGACACCTGATAGCTTCGGGGCTAACACTGACGAATCTGATAAGTGCGTTGAAAAATTGTAAAATGCCCTCTCCCTTCCCCCCTTATACTGGGGGGAAGGGAGGGGGCATTTGAAGCACTGGGCCTATACTTTCAAAAAAAGTTAAGAGATCGTAAATTCATCAGCAAAACGAGCAAATCATTGACGGCCTTGCAGGCAAAATCCACCAATCACAGACAAGTAGATAGAGCGTATAAGTACTTACGTTCACTTAGCCAGTTTTGAAAGTATGGCCCCTGAACGCTATATATTTGCAGCCTACACAAAAATATAAGATAAATGAATCACCGCGGTACAATGCAGGAAATGGCAAGGAAACACGAATTTGAACAGGTAATAATATCAGTTAATGCAACCTACAAACCCAACTTTCCCCATTACCTACAGCGAAACTTTCTCAAACACTTCCCAGAATGCAAGACTCTCCAACGTTTACCCAACAAAATGATCTTCAATATTCACCAGCACTCAAAATTCTAACACAATGCCCAAAACTAACATTCTTCAACGTTCACTGGCTCATATCATTCAACACAACACAATATTTTCCACATTATCAATATAGGAAGCATTCTGCATAATTCACCAGTACCAAACACTCATACCTATTGCGGGGACCAACAATTTTTCACATACGTCATGCAGTGCAGAACGTTCTCTCCCCTTAACCAGTATTAAACATTCTCTCATGCTCGTCAGCGCTAAACATTTTCATATATTTTAAACATGCTACCGCAACTGTATTTCCAGGTATGTAATGCCTAAAATATAATGACTTGTTCGCGGTAATGCAATTCAAGGCGGGACCCGCTTGCATTCCTACATCCTTCTGCATGCGCGCGTAACATCCGGTGTAATTTGCTAACGACTAGTCATTTCAAGACGCGTCACTTGTATTGTCTACCAAGTTCCATCCAGACAACTATTTTGCGAGAGTCTATAAAATTCCGCCTACAGTGGCTGTGTAAAATAATAGAATTATTACTGCCGTCGAAATTCCAGTTGTAATTTGTTACTTTTCAGCATTGCCATGTTTTGTGGCAATATAAGATATATTCCCTCTACTAATTTGTAATTTTTCGAAAATAACCCAATTCATAACACTTCGATTCCACTCCGTTACCAAACCCCCTGCTTCCCAGCACATAAAAAGCACATAATCACGGAAACGAGCAATTTGGTAACTTACGATTACGCTTTGTATCCTTGTTAGAATGTGTTTCTCTTGCAGCTGCTGGAGCTTAGTGTTCAAGACTGCGAACCTAATTCAACGCAGTCGACTGTTGACAGAAGTTTCCACAAATCGATCCAGCTTTTTTATGAATTAGAAATTAAAAAATCTAAAGCATATCGATACGAGCAGCTGAAATGCCGGTGCCCATGCCGGTGTCGGGTTTTTCAACAAGCTTCACTTTAAGAAGCTTCGGACAGTATAACTGAGAAACTCCGTGTTTTTTTTAAATGTTCAGCTTTCCAAATTTATTAATTTCAAGTTACATACTTCACTTTCTGCACTACGATTACAAGATTGAAATGATCAGTGTGCGTCGTTCTACATCTGACCAACGCAAATTATTCACGAGAACTGCCGTCGGCGTCGTTGCGCGTCTACCCTCTGCATTACCCGATGCCGGGGTAACATTTAAACATTTAATGAGTCTAGCAACAAATTTTAACCTGCGAACATAATAAAGAAACTATTAGCTTCTTTTGTCATCGATGTTGCTTGAACCAATGATTAAAATTTGTTTATATTTGTTCAAGAAGTAGTGAGGTACCTTGGCAAAGTTGGACGTTTTTACACTCGCGCTGAGATGAGTAATGCTCCTTCTGATTTTAGATCAAACTATCTTAATTCACTGACGAAGGAAGGAATTTTGTGATGCGTACTACAATATGATAAAATGGTGCGGTTTGAAATATTGTGAACTGTAGTTGAAATATTCAAATTTTTTTTTGTTGTTGTTGGGATTCCACGGTCACCCTTTTACAGGAGACCACTCAAATTTTGTTCATCTTCTTTGAATAACCGAAGATACATTTTGAAATGCCTTTCTCCTTTCGTACACCTTTATAAAGTTTCCATGCCTTCAAGCAGCCTGTGTTTTAAGTACAGCAAAATAAAATATCTATTTTTAATTTTACCGAAAAACTATTTTTGTCATAAAAGTAATGAAATTACTATCTAAACACAACATAAGTTCCAAAATTGAAAAGTCAATTCTCATCTCGTTCTGTCGTATGACTTAACAAACGAATGATTACGCATATAACGACGCCATTCCAGGTACGGGAGATGGTGAAATACCGGCGCCTGACCATGCAGGGCCATCATGAGACAGCATGACCATCTGCTCGTTTGAGTTAAATAAACGGTATTTTCGATGCTAGTACTTCAAAAATAATCAGTTAGACAAAATGCAAAAGCTATCAATTTTTTAGAAAGAATTCTGAAGCCCCCATGCTGTTGCTTGCCTTAATTTTGCTGACCTACCTAGACCAAGAGAATATGTTTTGCTAGCTTATTTAACCACCAATGATTATAAAACAAAAAATTTTAATATTTTCGATACTCGAGATTATCTCCATTAATCGTTATTTTCCATATTCAATTGATGACTCATTTACGTCTGTCATCTTGAACTTAATCGGCTTGATTAACAAATAAAACCTGGTACTAGTTGAGGAAAATTCATTGTGAACTATTGGCGTGAATGTAAGTTTGTCGACTTCGAATTAGCCTGAATAAAAAGCACGCTTGTTGGAAACTGTGTGTATATTTGAATGGGACTATTCAGGAGACCGCAGAATGTATAGTTTATAGTTGAAAGTAGACACCTTGTGCATCATGACAATGAGATCGTACAGTTTACTTGCGTGGGAACAATGACATTTTTAAGATCATCGAGGAGAACATGAATTTGAGTCTTGCCCTCCTTGAGCGTTTTGCCATCATTCTCTTAACAATGATATTCCTACTTTTGGTCATTAATGTAGAAGTTAATTGGAATTGATTAGATTATACGAGTTTCGCTGAAAGTAAATACTTTCACAGATAGAATCTGAAGATCGGACCCATTCAATGCTGGGAAATAGTAACTAAAATTTGAAATCTTCTCCATCAAACTCGACTAATTCTTCAATGCTCAACAGCCTCCATAAGCCAGACGATGGTGATGCAAGCAATAAAAGCCTGGCAGGACAACACATGCATCAGGTTCAATAAAATTACGGCGGCTAATGGCCGACCTCATCTCGTCTTCCAAGGGGGGCTGCTACTGACCCGGGCTGCTACAGTTTTGTCGGCATGGTAAACCAAAATGGCCAACCCGTGAATCTTGGGACAAGTTGTTTGAAGCAGGTAAGCGCTAACTTAGAAGCAGCTTGTTTGCTTCAGGAAAAGTTTTCGTTCTATGGCGTAATGTTTGAGACCCGTGGGAAATATTTTGAGTAGAATATATGATGTATAAGCCCGCTTAGCATTCTTGTAAATACTTATTTGTAAGAGTGCTTTGACAACTCAAACTTAATTTTCTTTACCAAGATTTCTAAAATTTCAGGTTGGCACTCCTATCCACGAGATCGGCCATGCAATGGGTTTCAATCACGAACAAAGTCGCTCCGACAGAGACTCTTACGTTACCGTGCTGCTAGCCAACGTTCAGAGTTCCATGGTATCGAATTTTGACAAAAGAACAACGAACAACTTCAACGTTCCATATGACTATACTCTTCCGTGATGCACTATTCTTCAACTGTGAGTCGTGCTATGAAATTCGATTGAATATCTACAACGGAGAGTCAAGTGACCCTGCTTTAGTTCCTAGTTTTTTTTCTATTCGCCTGCACAAACGAGTATTAAGCTCCATGAACTTCAATTTGCTGGTTAAATTATGAATTTTTTTATCATTTAATGACTCAGTGCAGGCACTATGCATCAGAATGAATATTTGTTTTCTTGGTTTCCATCTGCCCCTGAATATTTGCCGGGTCTTCTATATCAATCATTTGTTTGGAAGAATATCTGTTTCTCAAGAATTTTTCGATTGCATCGATTCGTTAATTTCAATTCATTTACTGTCAATGTTTTTTTTGCAGGCATTCGCCAAGCCAGGAAAGGAAACTCTGGTCGCAAAGGATCCGTTTGGTCAGATGTTCATGGGTTCACGTAGCGGCTTCTCCTTCATGGACAAGAGGATTGCCAACCTTCAGTACAAGTGCATAGGTTAGTTAACCTGTAATATGATAATTTTGACCTAAATTTTCTGATGTAATGACATTCTAGACCGATGGATCTTGAGAGTTGTAAGTTGGTCATTATTAACGATTTTTCCGATGATCAACCATAAAATTTTGGTTCTAAAACTTTATAAATAACATCTTTCGCGATTATCATCCGACAAGCTATTCTGAAAGTATAAGTAATTCTTTTTCCCAGTGGGTTTCATGATCGTAGAGCTAATTGCGAAATAAGGCTGTTATTCTGCAGATATCAATCAAAAAGACATTAATATCAGACACACTTCAAATAGGTTGGTCATTAAAGACAAAAACAAGTAAAGACCTCCGCCAGCTTGGTGAGTGTATCGCGAACGAGTATCTTGTGTCTATACTATACACATTTTCTCCACAAATCATAAACCATATATCTTCAATGCTATTCGTATTGCAAATTGAGTTACTATTATCAAAAATAGTTTAATATTCCAAACGTTTAGAGTAATTAAAATGTTGTAATTTACGCGTTAAGAGCTATGTTCATTGGAGCCTAATTTAAATCGATAGCTTGTATGGTACCGGAAAAAATCCAAAACTATTCAAACTTCTGGGTTATCTTCTTGTTAAAATTACCGAATAGCTGCATGTATAATGTAATTTAATAAGACGCCTTATTAAGTATAATACTTACAGAGCTATGGCACAAGATTCTGTTGGCGTTCAGTTCGTGCGTTGATTTTAAGTTCTATAAGATTATTTCCGGTTCCGATTTTCAAAAATTCAATTTACACAAGGTACGCTCTAAAACTTATTAATTCCTGAAATACTTGGTAAACTCATCACTCTGATCCATGTTATATATGTTCATTTATAGGTTTAGATAATATTTGACATTTCTCTTAGCCGTGTATCTACGCAAGTGTCGCAGAGCCTCTGATCCCTGTAAGAACAACGGCTACTTCGGACCCTCTTGCAAGTGTGAATGCCCGCCTGGAACTTCAGGAACTTATTGTCAAATCTACAGACAAGGATACATACGTAAGTGTAGACTATAAAAGTAATAGTGCATTATTTTTATAAAAAATTGAATGTGGTAGTCAGGCATGAAATGCGAAAGCAGCTTTATCATGCGATCTAAAATTGGCACGTGATAAAAACTTAGCACCCGCTTCCAAGTCTAATTTTATTTTTTTATGGAGCGCTACAATTATTTTCGTGATAATTGACTATAATAATACTAAACATCGATTACTCTCCAAATGGCTTCTAATTTATATGGAATAAAAACATACTTTATCCTTAATAGAAGCCCTGGCTTCGACCAAAAGCCCCCGCAGTAGAACTATCACAACTGCAGGCACTGTCACTTCGACCGGCTACCCGCGTCCCATCACGGCCGGTAAGTGTAAAAAAATTTAATCGATTCCCAATACACCGTTAAAAAGTACTTAGCTCAAAAGCTATAATCATTTGGAAGTCTAATTTGATATGTATCGGAATTATTTATAAAATCAAATTTTTACTTGCTGTAAGACTTTATTCAGTAACTCGCTAGAGTGCGACACTTTATTGTATATTCCACATTATTTCAATGAAACCTAATATATAATTAGGAAAACTTCTGCCATTGAAAGTATTGATTTGGTCCGTTAATCAGAAATCAGCCGTTCGATCCAGTAATCAGAAATTGAATTTAAGAAGATAGCAATGAAATTGATATTACATTTTTAATGTAATTATAAATTGAGCAATTTTCTATTGGAATACGACTATATAAATAGCCACATAAAATGAAACATCAACAAATAAATTTGAGTAATTTACCAAAGAGAAATAGGAAAGGAACTCTTCCGTTTCAGATGGTGATAATATTATTGAGATGAGAATAGATAAATTTTGAACTGTTTATTAACACTTGTTTCTATACTTCAAATGTTTTAATTATCACGTTCATTTTCCTATCAGTCGACGAGTACATACAGTTGATAAAGGCACCGACGTGCAAGAAAGTTCGACTGACGTTCAAAGCTTTCAAGCTGTACCCACGCAACGCCAACACCTGCATCTTCCAACAACTGACAATCCGTAGAAACGTTGATCTCTCCATTTCTTCGACGTGAGTTCACACGGAATTATATTTTTCCTTCATATGATACATTTGCAGTTTATTTTAGAATAACAGCGAAACCTTCTTTTGTATTGAATAAGCTGGCATTTAGAGTGGGTACAAATTTTTAACCCTGCGTTGACTAGTCAAAATCAGATTTTTGCAGTTTTATCTAGGTACAGGAAGCAATAGTTAAGTAGAGATCGAGTTATAAGAGTAGTAAAATTTAATGTTGCATTTACAATTACTTAACAGTATTTTACGCGAGTGTTGATGTTCTAATTTTGTAATATTATTATTTTTTTACTATACTGCTTCTATCAAAGCCCATGAATTCAGTAAATCTATATTATACTCTTAATTGAGGGAAAATCAATGTTCAGAATTAGATAAAATATCCGTTCATTCGTAGTCGGTGAAACGCAATTTCGATAAAATTTTTACATTGTTATGTTAGAATGGTAATGGACACTCAATAATAATATTATAAAGCATTTTTTACTGCATATTTATGGCCATTTTGAAACAATATTGCCCATGACAATGAGGGTAACTTGAGAAAAATTTAGTTGGGAAAATTTATTGTGGAAAAATTAGAAAAGTTGGAAATTTTATTCATTATATTATTTTATTTATTTAGTTGACGAAATTTATTGTGTGCTTTCTTCATTAGGTTCTGTGGAAGCGAAATCTCCGTCAACCGAGTGTTCGAAAGCGAGGGAACCACAATGGTTTTACACTTCAAGTCTCTCATAACTCACTCGTATCCGGGCTACTCTGCCACTATCACCTTCGTGCCCCTAAGAACGTCGGCTTGGTAACGATTTGTTGAAATTTCTGAATTTTCATCAATATCTACTCGTTATTAGTTGTTAACTGTTTTTATTGTTGTATAAATACGTATATTATTATTTATTATTAATGTTTATATATAATCACGTAATTAATGCCATGCCCAGAGGTGATCGTATGTTTATGGCTATGTACGGCAGATTTATTTACTGGTGAGAAGTTATCAATTGCGGACTCCGATATGTTGATCAATTAAGAGGTCCGGCATTTCGGTATCCGGTGGAATTGCACACGTATATCCTTTTTTTCAAAACAGCTGACTTAAATTAACATTTTCGCAGTATAAAGTAATGATATTTATACAATTCCCCTATATTATGAATCGATTCAATTTTTTTATCATCTACAACGGTACATTTATTTAACTTACTCAATCTTGGTTACTTAATCACTGCAATGACAACCAATTTTGACAAACTTTATAGCTACATTTCGAAAGGTTCTTACAATCTTATAGCGATATACAACATTAAAAAAAGTCCCGGAATAAGCTAAATATTCATATCAATGCGCACTCTTATAGTGGATATAAATAACCAAACCTTTTTTTCAAATCAGAATCAGAATCGGATTAATCATAGTATAGAATATTTTACTGCGGCATTTACTATGTTGTAACATATAATGTATTCAATGAATGCAGTAGCATTGCACAATCCACATAATACATGCTCGATATTTCTTTTTCGCAGCACCGGCCGGAGGTAGACGATGTAACCGTCATAATCCGACTCCTCTTATCGTGCGGATGTTGAATTACACCTGCACGTCCCTGGCTGTAGTGTGCACACCAATACAGTTTACTGCTAACGCAAGAACTTGTCTTGTTTCTTCATTCTTTTATTTATGACGTCTGTTACGTGTAAGTGCATAAAGTCACTGACGTTCGTCAGGTCACAATTCAGGCGTGTTGGTAAATTTTATAGTCCATTTGATCTCAGGTCGAAAGATAGATGCAACTGAGAATAATAAGTGAAGCAAGCAACTGTGACGTTGCACAGAAATATACTTACTTATTATCTTTTTGGGGCTATTAAACGATTGAAGGAGGTTGTCAGCCCTTTTTAATGACTGTTAATGATTTGCATGCACTGACAATCTCAGTGCAGTATAACGTGGTTAAAGGAAAGCCTAAATTTAATAACGCGACAAATCAAATCGAAATTTTTACCAGAGCTCATGACGCCATGTTGTCTGAGACACCAAAGCTGACTTACCGCCCGATGGAAATTTACTGAAGAAAGGAGCGAGAAAAATCACGGAAAAGACAAAAGTCAAATGCGCGCTGCTTTCCTCAACTAATGACGAGTGCTCTGTGTTCGTGCATTATGTGAATAATGACCACGCATTGAACATAGGCTCAAAATAACACACTTTTTCCAAGGATCGCGACAACTATTAGCTCAACCCTACTTTTTAAATTAAAATTCTCCGCATGTATTTGGATACCTAAAATAGTACGAATACCTAAAAAAACTTTTGGACCAAAATAAGGAAAGTCACGTCCTTATGCCTTGGTATTATCCACATACTGTAGCTATAGATTTCATTTAATACGGTACATTGTACGACTGAAACTGAATAATATCTAGTGTATCTTCAAAACACGAAACTTTATTCTTATTCAAAGTACAGGGTCAGCAAAATAATTTGTTTACAGGTGAATGCTCGAATCAGTATGTATGGAGGACGCGCGCTCTCGGTGCGATGTCTGTTGGAAACACTGCTCTACTTCACGTGGACTAACATGATCCGTTCGCCCAATAACGTAGCCTTCAACACTTCTGGACTATCGCATTATAGCCACAGGCGACCAGACAGGACACGTTTATAGAAGTAGACCAATTAGCCACATAAAAGCCTATATAGGTATAGGAACTAACCACCACCAGAAAAGCATATTCTGGCATGGGCAACCACTTGCCTGCGCGCATCGGAATTGTATATGGTATGTTGTTTACACCAATAAACCTTCAGTATTCTTGCCCTGCATGAACTCAGCCTCAGGTCGAACACCGGCCGTGCGTCGAATGCGCCAGCCAAGTGGCTGAAGTGGATGACTCGTCGGCGTCAGTCGGACCGGCGTTGGTCTGATGTTACTTTTATACTTACTATATGGGGTGCAAATTACCTATACCGTTTAGAATCGGCTAGGGTCGAAAAAGCTCAGGAGGTTAGGTAAGACAGACAAGGTACTTATAATGAAAAAAAAACTCGGCTGTCTTACCTAAAAAAAATTAATTTCCCAAGCTTTTTCGACCCTTACCGATTCTACCCGGGAAAATCACTGCGATTCTTCCGCGTCGTATTATTCAATCAGTAACACATTTACTAATTATTAATCTAGCCTTAGTAATAATCCCAAGGTTGATGTCTCTGAAGTTCACCGAGCAGAGCAAATACGATGCCATTTATCCATGGTTAACAGTCTATACTATCTGAAAATACTAAAATTTTAACGTAGTTATCATGAGATGACATTGAAATTGTCGAAATGAAATTAGATTTGATTTTCATGCTCTAATTAAAAAATTTTTTTAAAAAATCCATTTCTAGGTCTGGATGGATATGCAAGTTGAATATCGAAAGTTATTTATACTAATTCCATTTCAGACACGGCTGAGATATCCCCTTCTGTAAGCGCTTCCCATTAATTTAAATATATACCTGAATCATGCTTAGCAAATCATAACAGGCAAAGTTTCAACGTGAACATGTCAATTATTTTCTTCATTGGTCAGATTCTGTATTCTTATGTATGATTTTCACTGAATGTTAATGAATTTCACTTAATTTATGTTCCCTTACATGAATATTCACACTAATTAATCCTACCTCTTTTAGGTTAGACTTCATCAACTGCCCACCCTCAGGCGGGTGACAAAATCCATGCAAATGAATTATTTTTATTGCTATTGCCTTCATCACTTCAAATTTTTGTCGTTGTTATTGTTGCCCCAGCCGAGCGCATCAGTCAAGCTGGTTCAGACGGGGCCGGAGCCAACAAGCCACTTGAACGGGCCTTCGCCATAGGCCTATGATGTTGAGGGTTGTTGGATTGCTGATGCAGTTGAAAAGGTGAAGCACGACGTCCGGCAGAAGATGGCAGTGTGAACAAATAATGTTGATGTTGTCGATACGGTTTTTGTAGCTGTTTAGTAGAATGGAGTGGCCGGACCGAATTTGGGCATGTATTCGTCTTGTTTTGCGTGGCAAAGTGGTTTCGGACGGGTCGATTTTTGGCGTGGGGTGGTGGCCAGCCGTTGAGAAGTACCGGGGCGTGGTAGATCTCAACGGCGGTTCGGGCGGCGCTTGTATGTAGTGTGTTGCAGGCAGTTTTCATGGATTGGCTGTTGATGGCAGCTGGCATGACGGGTTGAATGGTGTCGTGGTAGCGAGCGTGCAGTTGTTTCTTTCCTTGTACGAGGTGGTTGGCTGAGGGTAGTGATGCGGTGGCAAGGGTTGTTGATGTCGTGGTTTTTTAAGAGGAATTGTGCGGCCAGTAAATCGGAGTGCTGTTGTACTGGTAGCATTCTGCATTCTGAGTGGAGGTGTGGGTCAGAGGTGATGTGGTGACATCCTGTGATTGTGCGTAGAGCGGCGTTTTGTACTGTTTGGAGACGATTGAGTTTCGACTTGGATGTGACTAGTATCCAGGCCGGGCAGGCATAGTCGCTTATTGGACGGCTAATTGCTTTGTAGGTTTGGAAGGCGTTTCTTTATCTTGACCGTATGTGGTTCCAGAGAGAGCTTTGAGGATTTGTTGTGTTTCGATGCTTTGAAGGCGATGTTTTTATGGTGGGCGGTGAAAGTGAACATCGTGTCGAATGTGAGGCCGAGGATTTTCGGGTTGTGGTTGAGCGGCAGCACCTGATTTCCACTTGAGGGTGGTGATTGTATTTAGATCGAAGCAGTATTGTAAAAAAAATATTACAAAATTAGACCATCAACACTACCGTAAAATACTGTCAAGTAATTGTAAATGAAGCATTAAATTTCACCACTCCTATAACTTGATCTCTACTTAACTAGGGGCTTCCTGTGCCTACGTAAATATGCAAAAAAACTGATCTTGGCAAGCCAAGGCAGGGTTCCAAAAATTATAGACACTTTCTCTCAATTCTCTTTAATTAACTCGTGGACAACTCATTATATAACTCA